GTTGAGGTAACTTATTATATAGCAAGAGATACCTTACAGAGAATCTCACTTCTTTCTTGGAGTAAGAGATAACTCTGTTGTTTTTTAAAAAAACAAAATCTCAGACTGAGGATGGGGAAGGTGGTAATTCATCTGGTCAGAGGTGTTCAGTGCCATTTGGTGAAAATATTGAAACTAAGTAGCCCAGCAAATATTGGTCAAGTTGAACTGAACTTAGACAAAAAAGCAGCTACAATCCAGGTGTTCATTATGCAATAAAACAGAAGTAGGGTAGCAATGAACAAAACAATGAATACCAGAAGCTGTGCTATGATCAAGAGTCCTGAGATAATTACCTTTGCTAGTCATCAAATATTTTGAGTTTGAGTTTTGAGGAATGCCCATGTTTAACCAAGGAGAATGAGCAGGCAAGGAGAGACAGCGACAGAGGGGCAGGAAGATGCCTGGGTATCGTGGAGGCCAAAAGAGGATGATGCTGATGGCTGACAAGAGTATCAGAGCCTGCTGAAGGCAAGGTGAGGTGGAAGTGGCTTGTGGAATTTCTGTTCTTCTGGTCATTAGTGACTTTAGCACTGGTGGTGTGGGGTGGCAGTAAAGAAAGTAGTTAGATCCAAACGGGGATAGGGAGTGTAGACAATGATAAAGTAACTCCAAAAGAGATTATAAAAGAGGAAAATATAAGAAAAAAACATTGAAAAGTGAAGTGAGCATGTGATATAAAAGTTGCTAGCATGCTGACATACATTTTCAATTCAGGAGGAGAGATAAAGAGCAGATACACTATGGGCCTTGACATGAAACTCTGCAAACCTTTAAAATGATAATCCTTTGAATTCCTGACCTGTAGGTGTTATATTGTCAAAGGACAAAAGAGATTATGCCCTTACAAAAGGATTTTAGAGGATTAGCCACAGACTGGGTAACAGAATTCTTACCTGGGAAAAAGTAAATGATATGTTGCAAATAAGTAATCAGATAATTTCCCTGTGTCCAGAGAACAGAAAAAGCTCAACATGCTTAAAGATTCTAAGAGAGTACAAAAGAAGCCATCTTCTCATAGAACCTGTGATATGTGTCCTTTCTTAAAAAGAGTGAAGGGTAAAAGTCCCAGGATTCTTTCAGACCTAAGGCAAGACTAAGTTGGATTTGGTGAGGGAAGTGGATGCTGGGTGAAAATGGATAAAGCAAACTTTGCGCCTAAAGGTCAGGCACTGTAAAAGACACAGAGAAAGAATGGATGGAAAAGAGGAATTGATGTGAGTACTCTTCTAAAGATGTCTATGCTTAGAATACATGGAATGTATTGTATGTGTTCAGCCTATCAAATGGACTGGAGAACATTCAAACCTATGCACAAGTAATTACTTCAATATTAAGAAGGAGATATTATAGAAAAAACAACGTTACAAAAAGAATAAACTTTGTCTTTGAAACTTGAGATAATACAAATACAAATAAAGCATAAAAAAACATTCACTGAACTGTGATAACAGATCAACACTGCACTTAGCAAACCACCTTTTCTCTGTTTGGGAACAATCTCTCTAAAACACAATATGTTAATGAAAGGATCTCAGGTAGCAATCATGGAATAGTATGAAGAACACAGATATTCTGAGGACTAAAATTGCACAAACAAAATGAAGAGACAGTTTGCCCACTTTTTGGCAGTGCAAAGTCAGAGGGAATGCAAATGAATGTGTTGTCAGTTGAATTACACTATTAACCACCTAAAAATTGGGTTCATTATCTAAGAAGGCAAAGCATCAATTTGTAGCATTATAACATTTTGTTTGTGCTGCTGAACATGTATTTGGATGTTTCTATGCTTTTGAACTGTGGTGTTGGAGAAGACTCTTGAGAGTAGCTTGGACAGCAAGGAGATCAAACCAGTCAATCCTGAAGGAAATCAGTCCTGAATACTCACTGGAAGGACTAATGCTGAAGCTGAAACTCCAGTACTGTGGCCACCTGATACGAAGAACTGATTCATTGGAAAGGGCACTGATGCTGGGAAAGATTGATGGCAGGAGGAGAAGGGGTCAACAGAGGATGAGATGTTTGGATGGCAGCACTGACTTGATGGACATAAGTTTGAGCCAGCTCTGGGAGATAGTGAGAGACAGGGAAGCCTGGGTGCTGCAGTCCACGGGGTTGCAAAGAGTTGGACACGACTGAGCGACTGAACTGAATTGAACTGAACTCATTTGGGTGCATAATAAGTACTTCAGCATCAGCCTTTTGATAGAAGCTTAATTTTGTGTTATTTCTATTATATTGTTCTCTCTGATGGGAATGATATTCTGCCTTATAAACACTTCATTTATTCTTCAAATAATTCTGAGTTCAGGTTCTTATGTTTCTCAAAATGGCATGCACAGGATTATAGACATAGCTTAAAAACCGAGGTACTCTTTGATTAAAAAAATTATATTTGAATAACCTGTAAAAAATATTCATTCACTCAATCACTCATTCTTCACTCTTTTAAGTGCATGTATTGAGCTAAGCACAGTGGGAAGTTCAAGGATTGACGTGGCATTGTCTCTGCCCTCAGGATGCTTATAACACAGAAGTAGTATAATATTATTAGTAACTTCAGACAGTACAAGCATAAGGCCTTCAAATCTTAGAGGAAAGAAAGAGTAAAGTATTCTTTCATTTCACAAATTATTTTTTGATGTGCTAGGCACCATTCCAGGGACTGGATATGTAAAAGGAACAAGATAGGGTGCCAAGGGAAGAATAAGGTGCCAAGGCACCTTATTTTATTACTGTTGCATCCTGGGGATGAGATAAAAAATAAGGCAGAAAACAAGCAAACAAATAATATAAGTTCAGGTGGCCAAAATTGCTATGAATAAAACTGAAGCAGGACAACATGAGGGACAGTGGTGGGGGTAAAGGGTGTGCTTTTAAGGGAACAAAACCCTCTGTGAGACGGTGACGGCTGAATAGAGATTTGATGATGTAGGGAGCAAGCATTTGAAGGTATGAAGAAAAGGCTTTCCAGGAAGACAGACTGATACAGAAAGGCTTTGAGGCAAAAATGAGTTTGATATATTCTGGAACAAAAAAGAAAGTCACATGACTAGAGAATGGAAGAAAGAGAGAATGAGAGATGAGGTCATACTAGTATGTGGGAAGGGGTCAGATCCTATTGATTTTCGTAGGTCATGATAAAGATTCTAAGTGCAAAAGGGAATCCATTGTGGATTTTTAAGCAGGATGTGGCATGATCTGATTTACATTTCTGTTTGTGTGCAGTGTGGAAATTCAACTGTAAAGTGGTGAGAAAGGTAACTGGAACAGAGATTAGGCATCTATGCATTGTCCAGGTGAGAGGACCAATCAGAAATTGACTCAAGTAGTCTAACATAGACACAACAGGTTAGATTCTATTGTGGTAGTCTGATTAGACATGGTTGGTGTGGACTAGGGTAATAATTACTAAAGAGGGAAGAAGTGGTTCACTTCAGAAGTTTCACAAAAAAAAGTGATTCTAATTAAAGATACAAAAGTAGCAAGGTGAACAATATGTTAATAAGAATTACTTCCAGATATAGTGCTAAGGACTTTTATTCTTTTCCTTTTAGTGTAGAAAACTGTATTATTAAAACTCCTGTGTATGCTTGACTTTCCTTGAATTTGCAAAAGTGGTAAGTTTCTATCAGTAGATACTTAGTTCACTGTCAGTTGGCAAATTTCATCTTGTCACTTCCTTAGAAACCATGGTTAATATTTATCTTTCCCATTCTGAGAAGGAGAAATTAAAGGCTTCTTAGAAAGGAAAAGCATAGAGGAGAATATAAATATATAATACATTCATATATTTAGATGCATCTTTTACTGTCATCTGCTACCCTGCCTCCAATCTTGCCCCCTGAATCTTTCCCCAAGTGGATGACCCAACTTGAACATTCTCTCCTAATTTCTCTTGTCTGCAGCCTCCAGAACTAACTGGCCTAAAGCAGTCTAGTCATGTCCATTCCCCTGTGCTCACAGAATAAATTTCAAATTCCTTAACCTGATACCAACCTGACCCAACTTACTTTTTCTGTTTCATTTCTGGCTCCACTCTCTAATTGTTTTAATCACATTGGATTTTTTTCATCTTTTAAAAATTATTTTTAAAATTGTGATGAAATAACAAAACATAAAACCACATTAAACTGTCTTGAAGTATTATACATAATTTAGTAGCACTGAGTACATTCACATTATTGTGCAAATCCTATTGGATTTTAAATCACGAAGTATCACTGTTCCTCTAATGCTTCTGGCAGTTTGTTGACTGGACCATACCTCTATCTATGTGATTCCCGCTGGGCCCTGAAATGCCTTTCACTTTCTTTCCCAATTAAAATCCTACATGTTTTACCGAGCACTGAAGACCAGTGCTCAGATCCCACCTCTTGTTTTAGGCTCCTGTGAAACCTTACCTAGAAACAGAAGGTCAACTCTGTTGCTAAGTAACTTAAAGTTAAAAGGATGCCTGGTTGGTAAATGGCATTTGAACTGGGAGGATTTATACATGAACTATAAATACCGGAAGGGGACGTGACACTTGCGCTTTCCTGAGTAATGACTTGTGATTAGGCAAGCTCCGTGCCCCTGGAGGCTAGGGCTGTGGAGTTGTTATAAGAGATACTGCCTCTAAGGGCAGGCGGCTCCTATTCCAGGAACATTCTTCTACCCACCCAATACTGATCTGTCCTCTTGCACCTGATCTGTCACCTGGGGGTTATGGACTGATTGTCTGTACTGCCATGCAGAATCCCACCGAAGAAAAACTTGTAAGCTGCCCTGCCGGCCAGAGGCATTTCCTGTGTTACAGCTAATGAACCTGAATGTTTAATTGGACTAAGAAGACCTGCTTTGGCCTTGGGGAGTTGCATCAATATGCAGACATATTGTCCTAAGTATTAACACGCTTTGCACACCTGGACTTCAACCCACTGGGGCTAGACTAAAGGCTAGGATAATAAATGCTGTCTTACCTTTGGAAGGAGCTGGATTGCCTGTAGAATTCTTTGTCGGTGCCCAGAATTAAGGATTCCAATTTCCAACAAATCCTGGTCTTCCATAACATTGCTTCCCTGAAACAAAACCAGAAATGTTATAAATGAAATTAGCCAGCTTTACTGGGCATAAATAATGGTTTTCTTAATACAAGTGGTCTGATTTTTATTAACAAAACCATAGAGTCAATCTTCTGTAAGAGTAAGGTGAGAGGAGGTCACCTAGATGATTGAGTTGGAGGTTCTGGGAAAGTTCCTTTTACACAATAAGTACTCTCAAGGCTTACTATTTATGGCTGGATTATCTGCATTGGGAATTCATTTCTGTGACTCAAAACCCTGTTCCTCTAAAAATATATATGCTTCTAGGAAGAGCTGCCATTTAAACTATCAGTGACCTATACATTGATGTGAATGAACCAGTTTTTTTCCCCTCTGAAGACACATTTTGTAAGGAGAGCTGATGGAAAAATTGAAGTATCCTAGGCAAGCTAAAAGAATAATTCATCTTAAATACTGAATGTCAGATGTCTGATCAAGGTATGAGGATACGACAATGAATAAGATGCAGGTTCTTGCCCTTAACTGTTGATTCCTTCTAGTCTAGAGATGGAAGCAGATTTTTCAAAGGCAGTTAGGATGCTGTGAGTGTGCTAGCATGGTGACACGTGCTTGAGAATGCAGAGGGGACCTGGGGTGTTTTTTCAGCAGAGATGGTGTCTCATCAGACATCTGAAGTACAGTTCAGGTTCAGCACTCAAAATGCAAAGGACTAGGAGAAGTCACATGCAGTGCTGTGTGGGTAAGAAAGAACACAGTGTACTTGGAAACATCAAGTTCTGGGATAAGTTGGAGACAGGAGCAAAACTTAAAAGGCTTAAAAGGCATTGAGAAGCCAGACGACACAGATATTGTATGAATTTCAATTTCATCTTGACCATAATAAGTCATGGACAGATTTTAAGAAAAGGAGTTACATGATGAGACCTCAGACTTAGAAGGATCAACTTGATTTCTGTGGCTGGGCCTGTTGGCTTACCTGTGAAATGATAGGGTTGAGCCACGTAACTTCCAAGGATCAGCCTAATCCTGCTATTCTCTGATTTCAATGATTTTTTTGACCTCTGATTAATATTCTAACATGGAAGCTTATAAATTGCTTATTTTATCCTGAAATTTCAGTCTTTTGGAGCTTGTGAGCTAGAGTTTTCCTTTAAATTAAGGCATCTATAGGGAAGTTCAAGAACTCAGATCACTGCTTTTATGGACAAGTCAAACTCTATCTTACCAATGTGTAAAATAAAAACACTTATGAATAGAAATTACAGAATATCTATTTATGGAGAGCAATGGGTCTTGATGAATATTTAAAGCAAAAGAGAATGAACTGGAAAAGGGCAGTCGTGGGAGCGCGGAGCTGTTAGGAAACAGAGGTCGTTCTTGAGATGGTGTGGGCTTAGGCTAAGATAGTGGTCATGGGAAACAGAAAGATGTGAGCATATTGGAAAACCATCAAGAAGTCTGACTTGGTGACTGAATGCGGAGAATGACAGAGAAACGCAGAATACACACCAGTTCCAGGCTTCCTCAACAGGGCTGGAGAGTGATCTTTTCCTGAGATGGGGAGGAGGGGCCAGTCTAGCATGGTGCAAAGACTAATGTCTTTCCCTGGACAGGCACAGGATTGATGAATGTAAACAGTTTAGTATTGGACTATGTTAAAAACTGACACAATTGGCTGTGCTTAGAAAGATTAAAGTCATTAGTATGGTACCACAGCTAGGGATTTAAAAACGGGCATTCATTGGACAGAAACATTCCACCTACTTGTAGTAACATTCTTGTGCTTAAGCTACACTGGCCATCTCGGAGGAGGCAGAACGATTCGCGTGTACAGCGGTGTGATAATAAAAAAGCCTAATGAAAAACAAATAAAGCCCGTCTTGGCAACATGCCATAGGAAACACTGCTCTCACGAAATTACTCAGTGCTCACAATAGAGCATGGTCAAGAATATAAATGACTTCATTTTGAGAAAGCGTTATTATTTTCAGAAATGGACTAATGTGTCATGAGCAGGATGTATGATACCATTCTGTTTGACTTTCATTCTTTAAGAGATTTTCCAAAGGAGTTAAAAGGCCCTTAAAAAATAAAAACAAATAAAAATACTTTACCACCTTTGTATTTAGATCATTATCCTGTTTTCCAAAGGCTAAATTGCCAGCCTACAACTTCAGCTTATACAAAATATAGAACCTGGATTTTTTGTACAAAAACAAGACACAACAGGAGGTTATGGTCTGAATTATCTATGGGTAATATTAAATACTTGATTTCAGTGTTTGAATACTGAAATGATTTAAAGAATTTAGTCCTTAGAGATCACTGTTTTTCCTCTAAACCACCAATATATTGCCTTATCTATCTTCAGTAAGGGAGGAAACATTTTGAAGAATTGTAGGGAAGTTAGACAAATTCTCTTTGGGTCAAATACCCTAGCATAGGATAATTCCAAATACTTTTGAAAAATGAGTGAAAAGTATGAAAATCACAATGCAAATGGTGAGAATGAGCCCAAAAGGAAATGGTACTGACTGTAGAAATGTAAAGAAAAGGATTCACTTTCCCCAGTGAGAGGACATTGGAAATTTTATATTTTCTTTCTTATTGTAATATATAGGAATACCAAAAATATTCTGGTGCATCATCTAGCCAGTCCTTTTTCAAAATAGCTCCAGGCTTGGAGCCTCAAGACTTGGGTCTGAGTCCTGTCTCGGGAAATGTGGCTAAAGTGAAAGTGAAAGTTGCTCAGTCGTGTCCGACTCTTTGTGACCTCATGGACTATACAGTCCATAGAATTCTCCAGGTCAGAATACTGGAGTGGGTAACCTGGCTCTTCTCCAGGGGATCTTCCCGACCTAGGGATTGAACCCAGGTCTCCCGCATTGCAGGCAGATTCTTTACCAGCTGAGCCACAAGGGAAGCAATGTGGCTATGTTATATATTATTTCTGAGTCTTGTGGTCCTCACCCATTAAATGAAGCCATTTAATAAATTCCCCTTCAGTTCTACAATGCTCTGATTTCAATCATGCCCAACTTTGATTAATATCATTTTATTTAAATACAGATTGTATAATTTGAAACTATGTTTTAGTTCTTAAGAATTGTAACTTAAATTGCCTCAAGAAGTAATTATACAGAGTGCAAGAATGCATGTTATTTTTTTTTGACAAATCAGTATCAGTACTAGGAACTTCTAAAATTTCTTATAAAAAGAAATTGTAGAATGCCTTCTTTTTGTAGTATCATGGATTATTACAGCTTTTCAGAGAAAATCAAATATTTCAAACTTGCAACTAACCATTTTGCTTGTACTTGGGTAATAGTTATGCTATCCAGGACAATAAATATTTCTATTCTTTCAAGGCAGCTAAAGTTTATTCTCTTGTTATCATTTGCCTTCACTGAATGTTAGAAAATCTCAGTTTAATTCATTTTTTTCTCAATAAAAGTTGAACATACACTCTAGCTTTCTTTCTTTCATCCGTCTTCCATGACTGCCAGATTAGTGGTGTTTGGAGTAGGGCTCTATCGTGTCTATCTTCTACTTAACGACCTACCACACTGCACTCTCCATCTCATCTCCTCACACACATGATGTCTCTAATTTCTTATCTCCGATTTACCCCCCAACTCATCCCAACAGGCTTTCACCCCCACTAACTCCACAGAACTTCTCCATAAAATGTTAAGAATGACCTCTCATATCCAGTGGATTCTTTTCAATCTAGTCTTCAAGGACTCATTGGCCACTTGTGGCTGATGGCTCTAAAATGCAAACACAGGACATTGCTGTTATCATAGAATGTTCTATTCGACAGTGCCTCTCTACTGTTAAAGATGTTGAAACTGCAGCTGAATCACATGAACCGGGCAATGATGAGAATGTGACAGGGAATCAAAACAGAGTCAAATATACTCATGAATTATTCTCAGGATATGACTGATGTTCCTCTTAGTCAAAGTTCATGAACATTAAATTTAGAATCTGTAGCAAATTCTTTTCTAATTTTTCAGTCATTGAAGCAAATTAGTAGCTGGTTCTGCTTTCATTAGGGTTTCGTTGCCATGGGGCTAGAAATCTATGCAACCAAAATGACAAGGCCCATTGAGAAATTGTTTATTATATGCTTAGCACACTACCAGGCACATGGCATAGGCATTGAAGGAACAATAATCAGTAGGTAAAGTTGTTTAGTTAATGATTTTCTAGATGGATCAAAGTCACAAGGCAATGGTTTTTTTTTTTTCTTTTTAACTGATAGGAAATGTCTAATCCAGGGCAGCTTTGTTGCTTTCCTAAATCATGGAATGAAGAAAAATAATCTAATATTTTATGCACTAAGAGTTGAAAGCTGAAGTTTCTATGACCATAGGGTGAATGTCTTATGTATTGGATTTTTTCAGCTATGACAAACTAATAAGATGACCAAATAAAATAAAAAGCAGTGCTTTGTATTTAATGATCCATTTGAAGTAGAACAGCTATTTATTGAAATCATTTCTCAGAAATATCTTTACTGTTTCTGTCTCTGAGAATTTCAGCTTGAAAAGTTCATAACCTTGATGTCATGTTACATTACATATCATATAAAATGCTAAGGAAACATATTTAAGGACCATAGAGAACTGATTTCTTCTTAATATAAGCTTGAGTTAAATGTTATTTATTTTCTCTACTCAGTTCAAGACTGAAAAAAACCAAGAAGATACTATTGATTGGAGAAGATTTCTTTTGCTCTATAATTAGCTAAATTAGATTCTTCTTTACAATTTGCATGGCCTTAATTATTTAAAATAGAATGGGTAGTAGAATGATAACATGATCTTGCAAATTCACAAATGTAAAAACATTTTATACTTAATATACTTTTTTACAGCATAAATGACATGGTGGCCTAAAACTACATATGACTTTCTTGGGATAACACTTCTACCTTTAAGTTTCTAGAAAGATTTTTAGTTAATTTGATATTAATTTACAGGTAAATGCAATAAGTTTCTTTGCTGCATGTTAATGATTATAACTACTATGATAAATACCAGTTTTATAACCCCCTTATAAGTGTTGGAACAAAACTTTATTTAGTTTACCAGATACAAACATGAGCTACCAACCATAATTAATTAGATAATCGATGATATATTTCTTTCATTTTCAATTCCCTCTCTCACATTAATGAAATGGCAGTAGAAGAAGATTTTGTAGTCTATCTTTTACATTTCAATCTTAGCCTTCCATGTGAACGTATCCTGTCTACTGCAATGGAATTTCTTCACAGCTTAACTAAATTACCAGGTTTTCAACTTATGAAAAAGTTTCCTATATTCTTTAGACCACATGGATTATTGATTCAAATAAGTGTCATATCACAGAACAACATATTTGAGAGCACCTATATATATACACATAGTTCAATCTCTCAGTCATGTCTGACTGCAACCCCATGGAATGCAGTACGCCAGGCTTCCCTGTCCATCACCAACTGCAGGAGCTTACTCAAACTTATGTCTATTGAGTCAGGGATGCCATCCAACCATCTCATCCTCTGTCGTCCCCTTCTCCTCCTGCCTTCAATCTTTCCCAGCATCAGGGTCTTTTCCAATGAGTCAGTTCTTNATTTTAAAATTAATTTTGTTGTAGAATAGTCGACACACATGATTGTTAAGATACTGCTTTTGCTGAATATTTTTAGAAATTTAGTACTTTTAGTTTTTTCTTTTATGACCCAGAATGATTTTTTTCTTGAATTCTTGTCACCTCCAAGTCTCACTGGGTAGATTTGCCCATTAGTGAAAAGAAAATCAGTAATGCTAGTTATAGATTATTGAAAACCAATAATCCTAGTTATTGCAGTGAGAAAATACAAATCAATGATATAATATCAGAGAAAAATTTAAGTAATTTTAAACTTGGTGATTAATGCTGTATAAATAAATATTTGATGTGAGATACTTCTTGATCATTTTACTCTTTGCCCTAAAACTCATAT